GCATAAAATTCTAAATACGCCCATTTTATTTCGCAGCAATAAATAATACTCGGTAGTGGTGCACGTCTATTTAAGGTCAAACAACTGTTCCGAATGAACTCCAATAACGATCAATAATTATCCTCGCATTGACCAACCTACATTTCAAATTTCTTTCAGTCGGCATAAAATTCGAAATACACTAAGTTCCCTAACTCCCTAAAACAAAATTTACCAAATCCCTTTCATCCGTGCAAAAATTAAGCACAAGAAATGAAGCATGTGCTCCGACACTAAAATTCGAAGAATATCAGAAACTGAAATTAATCGCTTCAACTTCTGAGTGGCTCAAACAACACCCAGTACTATTTTCAGTGTCCATTTCATCAAAAAATGTAACACCTACCCCGAATTCACCCCAACAACTATACAATCCTACCTCCAAAAAAAGAAATCCAAATTCAGAACATCTTGCTAATTATTCCGATACCTAAGTAGGATCGTTGAGGATTCGCGACGGAAGGAGGAGATGTGTAGTAGATACATAAAATAGGTGTATGTATTTATGTGCATGAAGGAATAAGTAGGTTTCCAGTGATCTACTTACCTATGTTACAGGCTTGGGTGACGGGCAGGGGTGCGCAGCAAGGCCCGCTGAGGGTCGCGACCCTTATCCGGGGGCCCACTCCCTTGCCGGGCCCGGGACCACCACCAGGCCCACCTTCCACGGGCCCGTATCGGCCGAACGGTCCCGAGGGCCCCAGTGCACCCACTTTTACTGCGGTGTTATCCCAATGGCCGTTAAATCGCACTTCTCACACTTCCCCCCTTGGCTGCCAATTTATTCGCCAGCACACACTCGATAGATTTTTGACAATTCCGCGCGCGACCCTTATTCTTCCCCTTTCCTTAAAATCTCTCTGACTCGCGGTGTGTTTTTTCTGTTTTTTCGTTTTCTTTTTTATACTCGCGCCTTTCTCGTCCACGTCGTTCTCGTTTAAGGTTAAACCACGTTAAACGTTGTCACTTTATTATTGTTACAGACTTTTAGTTAGGGTGTTTTTTTTTTTTGTCCGTTTCTCTCTCTTCGTCGTTGGATGGTAGTTCGTTTTTGTAGTTCATAGGTTACCCTCTGTCTTTTCAGCAGTTTGTTTTTCAAGGAGTTTTAAGGAAAAGTGTTTTTATTTATAGGAGATTTTGCAAATTGCGTGGAATCACTTGATCGATCGAACACCCCCCTCGTGTTTTAGTGGTCTCAGCTGGCAAGCCGGTACCGGCGGCACATCGTGGTCCCGTGGTCGCGCAGTTACGATCGTTCCTCCACGGATCTAAACACTCCGCGGTGGATCATGGCGCCGATACGACCGGTATCGCGGCGGATCTCTTAGACGCGACGTGCGCGTCCGCGCGACGGGCCGCATCAAGAGCCTCCGGTATTGCCTTGTTATACCTTCACGTCGGGTGAATGTCGTCGCGTGTATTTTGCGCCGATCAGCGCAGACCCTTGGTAATTTGCGCCAATTTTTTTTTCCTTATTCACCAAGTTTTATCGACGATCTACCAATGAAATCAACACTGTTTCCCTTACGATCACGTTTCCCAAACGAACCTCGCCGGAAATTTGTATCTTTCCTCGACGATACGTAAACTCGAAGAGAAAACGAATGAATGGGAACCGGGCGAACCGAGATGCGTCGCGACGAACGACACGCAAACGGATGGAGAAACGCGGCGACCCCGAGCACGCTCGCCTCGAGTTCGCCAGCCAACTGGCTGCACCTGTGACAACCGCGAGGGCCCCCCTCTACTCCTACACGTCGTCGCGCGCCTCGCTGGAACGGGCTACGCCCATTGGCCACGACCACGGCGCGGGACCTTCCGCGCTCCTCGCTGATTCGCCGGCTAGGCCCCGCTCGGGCGTAGCCAACCCCGTGCGCCGGCAGACATGGCCGTGGAATGGCTGCGGATCTCTGGCGGCGGACGGGACGCTTCTGTCGTTGCTACTGCTTCTGCTGCTTCTGCCGGCGTGTTGTTGCTCGAAATAGCCTGCCGCCTGATTCTCCTCGTCTCTGACGCGCTATCGATCCCCCTTCGGCGTATACCGAAGAGAAGAGTGCCTCGCGAAATGCCACAGGTTTCAGAGAATCTTTACCTCTCGCGCCCGCGAAATATTCCTCCCTCCCTCCCCCCTCTGCATAACCACCACCTCTGCCTCCTCCTCCTTCACCCCTCCCTCCTTCCCCTCCGCCCTGCCCGACCCTTCTTCGCCTACCACTTCTTTCTCCCTCCTCCCCTTATCTTCTCCAGTTCTGCCTCCTCTTCTTCTTCTTCTTCTGCCTCTTCTTCTTCTTCTTTCTCTTGCTTCTTTAAGTTTACCGGATCCTTCTTCTCTCGGCCGCGGCATCTCTTATTCTTATTCTTCTCGATTTTCTTTCTTCCTTTTTGTCCGTCGCTTTTCTTCCCGCGAACGTTTTTCGATCTCCTTTCTCGCTCGCACCGTTATTCGCGCCACACATCCTGCCAGTGTTGTACGTGTGTGTATATACGCGCCCTCTGTTCGACTCGCGAGACATAACCTTATCGCGAGGCTCGTTTTGTGACGGAGGCGTGTACCGAGGCGACGCATTGCTTTCTATCGATTAAGGACTTCTTCGCGCTATTGTTCGACGAGTTTTAAGGACCGGTGCTGGGTAGATGTTTCCTCTGTAGAAGTTGCAGGGTATACTGTCTCGACGTTGTTCCATTGGAATCGTAAGCCGATAGGCAATTAACGTTTGTTTACCTGTATGAATCGGTATAACGTACGAGTGGGGAATTCGCGCGTGGCTTTCACGAGTGTTTGAGAAATACTTGGACTTGTTGAAAAAGCTGAATTTTACCACGATTCGTTCTCTGAATTATCTCCAGTTGTAGTTTTGACAGTTTTTACTTGATACCTCGATTCTTTCGAAAAATCCATTAAGGTTAAAATACGGTAAAAAACGCGTGACAGGTGAAAAAAATTTTAACGGTTGTCCCCGTGCCACTATAATTAGCCATAAACAAGTGGCTTCTATAAATTATATCACGGTGGACTGGTTAAGCTTATTACGAGGGTCGACCATAGACTACTGAAAAGCTGTCAAGATTATTATAGGGTCCCGTGAAAAATCGACCGCTCCGTAGATGTGTCAATTCGTAACTGGCCTCTTGAGTAAGTATAGTCCTTCACCGTCCTATTCTATCCTCTTTCCGCAAATAGCGATTATACCCCTTGAATATGGCCCCGTAAAAATTTATTCCTCCTTTTCTCGTTCTTGCGTATCCGTTCGAAATTAGGAATTATTCGCACCATGTGCTATGGTAATTATACAACACTACGGTCTGAAGTATCTACTATTACCAACGGTCGATTATTGCTCAGTAATATCGATATCAAAATGCTTCCCTTTCGATGCATTCCGTTATTCGATATGTCGTTAATCTCGCGTCGAAGACAGACGTACGGAATTTCATAATCAAGAGAATCCCGGAGCAGGGTAATATCGATATCAAAATGCTTCCCTTTCGATGCATTCCGTTATTATTGTGTCGTTAATCTCGCGTCGAAGACAGACGTACGGAATTTCATAATCAAGAGAATCCCGGAGCAGTGGATTCTTTACGGGTTTTATTCGCAACTCGACCAGCAGTAAATCCCGTTGCGCGAACTTTTAAGAGGCAGTAAAATCTTGTAATACGCAATAACTGTATGAGAATTAATTAACGCGAAATTGATGCCTCTTCGCAAATCAGATTCTACTTAACCTCTAAATATTTCGACTATAACGCGTTTCAATGGATCTCGAACGGAGGGGTAGTCGATTTTACGAGAAAGATAAATTTATTTGACGTTCGCGCATGCTTGAACGGGAAAAAAAAGGGACGAGGAGTAAAGAAAGAAAGAAAGAAAGAAAAAAAATAAACGTAGAACACGCTAATCGAAGAAAACTAATTCGTTTCTTTTTTCGTTCGTACAAATTGTGGTTGATGCTCTCGAACGTAATCTTATCGATATCCGGCGCGTAGTTCGTCTTACAGAATCACGAGGTTAGTTCTGCGAATAAAGAAATACGATCAGTTTTTCTTCTTGACTGACGTGGCGATTGTACTTGCGACAAAAAAAATATATGTCACAGGTATGACAGGCTATTCGTTCCTACGCAATGCCGTGTCATTGTTCTGCGGCTAGCTCGCCCGGTCCGACAAGACGATAAATGGGAAAATGAACGTGGCCTGCGAGTTACGATCTTCCGTGTACGGTAATTATTATTGGTTTTTCAACGAGTCGGCTCGGTTTATTTAGCTCTCACGATCAAATGAGGAAGTTGTGAGCCCGTACTTAAAATGCGTCATCGAAACAATGACTTGCAACGCGTAACATTCGAAAAACATTCGACGTTTTTTCGGTCGTACAATTTTTTTTTTTAACTGCGTATTAAAGTGCAGTTCATTTTTTTTTTTTAATTATATTACATGTAATTGTTCGAAGATAAAGAATACAATGACTGTACGTTACTTGCTGCGCTTACTGCGTAACTTTTAAACACCTTGGTAAATAGGCAATTTCACTACGTCTGACTATGTATCGAACAACTCTACTTCGAGCAATCTAGTTTCGAAGTGTGATGACGTTGTAGTGCATACGTAGCAGATGTATCATTAGGGGAAAAATTCGATATGTTCGTACAAGTTTACAGCAAAAGTATGTACGTGAATTTATTTTCATTGGTGTTAGTGTTAGTAGAAAGGAATTGTCTTTGATTAGACTGATACTGACGAAGAATAGGATGAGAATTCGACAAAATTAACAATGTAATGTATTTTATTATATGTTTAACAATAAGAAAAATGTTCTTATTTTAAAATACATGTTCCAAGATGTTCAATATTGAAATAAAAATATTTGACCTATACAATTTAATAAAATAGGCATAACTTTCAGTTATATTGTACTATTTGTTTCGTGTAATACAATAAGCGGCAATATTTTCGTTTCCCTGGAATGCTGAGTAGATCTATGATCTGTCCTCAGGAAGCCCTGCAAAATTATACATTTCTTATTGATGGTCATTTTGGATAATGTCCTATCCACTCTCTATATGTAACATTCATTGCTTCCTCTACTATATGATCTATGGGATGAATTATAAAAGGTATTGTTGCTAAACCAATAACGGTTGGAATCCACCGACTTTTTATGGCCAAAATATTGCTTCTTCTTTGCACAAATTGTACAGCAGTACAAATTCTATTAATTGTGAAACCTGGAATGAGTACAGATGCAAATGACTGCCACAATAAGGTGTCTGTCATAGAGAGCAAAGTACATTTTATTGCATTTGGAGTATCATTACTCTGAAAAATAATACATTTATGTTAATATTTTTAATTAATATACTTATTACATTTAAGCAATACACATTTCAAAATTGACTTACTTTGTAACTTTTTAAGCCACTGTTAATTGTATCAGCAAGAACATATCCACTGGCTACAACATAACTTAGATTTACAATTGAATTTGGAACTATACATCTGAAAGCCTCTCCAACCTCATTTGCATATCCTAAAAAAAACAAATGGAATTTTTATACATTATATATAAAATATAACATTAAGGTAAGACTACTGATAAAAATGATTAAAAACAATGAACTATTATAAAATTCTGGCATACTTTACAAATAACAAATTAATAGACCATTTAATTTAACATCAAATATATCAATGAAAAAATGAAAAACAGTGGTTGATAACTTATTATCTATTACCTAAATATCTGACAGGCGTATCGCGGTACAAGTCCACTTCTTTTAATTCCTTCATAGTAGATTTATCGTTATTTACAAAATTGTGTATATTGTCAAACATAACCTACACTAATATGTCTGGCGCATTGTTCGATGTATTAAATGACTCACATTGGCGTAGTATCGATTTTTTTCCAAATATAAGTTACATAATTTAGATTACTAGCTATCAAGTGTGAAGCTACTTTCTATGAACTGTATAAATTGAATAATTATTTTAATATAATTGTACAATGGATTATAAAAAAAATAAAGTCCTCTAAAGAGGTTCAAAACACCTACGATCAAATATTTTAAACATAGGGAACTTTACATTTTGGTAACCCTGTTCGAATGTCAACAATTTACACGCGGTAAAAAATTCAAAATAATGAAGAAAGATTTAAAACCAATTATTTAAACTTTAATTCTTTCATTTAATTTTAATAACAGTCCAAACCGTAAATTGCAATCGAATGGTTTAAAAATTTAATTCGTATTAATATTCCAACGTGTAAAGTAACTAAAAATAAAATAAAATCTGATCATAATTTGAACACATTACGTACATAATTAGACATTAATGGAAGTAGTAGAAACGCTAACAGAGATGGTCAAGAAATATATTTAGAAAAAGAATTTAACCAATAGTAAAAGTGTCAGTAGCAAAAAGTATAAGTAGATATGAATATTATAATAGTAAATTTATATCAACTTACGCAAGTATGGCGTCCAATCCTATTATCTGGTTTGTTTACAGCATAACCTTACAATGTCCTTTCAATAAAAGAAATTTTATCCCAAATTTTGACGGGACAGCTCGCTCTTCCACAAATATGACAGGACCGTAATATTCGTAAGTGGAAATAGTTCGTACATCGCCATTCAATATGTTAGAACTCAATTTTATTAGGGAATATTTTAGTATGCAAGTAAATGAAATTATTAGTTGGTGGTGGTTTTACATCAATGAAATTTCATGGCAGTTGTTAATAGCTGTTACCGCGTATCTTTGCGTTTGTATTTTCCTGTATTCAATCTTGAAGAAAGTTAGCCACGGAGCGTGGCAACTTCCAGGTCCACCTGCCAGAATATTGTTAGTCACGGCTCATCCAGATGATGAGGTCATGTTCTTTGGTCCACTGGTGTATTGGGTTACAAGATCAAAGGCTAGTGAAATTTATCTCCTCTGTCTTAGCAGTGGTATGCTTATTGATTATTAGTGAAGCAAATCTATGTATAAAACATATTAGGATTTAGGATATCTCCACATATTGTTTTAGGTGGTGATAGGAGGAGAAAAGAGGAGCTGTGGTCTTGTGCAAAAATATTAGGAATTCCGGAAGATAATGTAACTATAGTGATGTATGAAATTGTTTCATTCCTATAATTTTCAAACTAATTTATCATTAATTATTTGAATACAATCAAATATTATCCTTTTAATCTTCTATCTTAGTTCAATAAATGCATGTATAGGAGTACAGAGTTACCTGATGATCCAAATGTACAATGGCCCACTGAGATAGTGGCAGAATGTATTTTACACCATGTAGAGACTTATAAAATCAATGCAGTTGTAACATTTGATAAGCATGGCATAAGCAGGCACAAGAATCACATCTCCCTATATTTTGCCATAGCTGCATTATGCATAGAAAAAAAAGTACCATACTGTTAGTATTACTTAATCGACAACTAAATTAACATTAACAAATTGCTAAGTAACGTAATCTCTTTCCAGATTGTAAACTATATGTTTTAGAATCTGTGAATATAATTAGAAAATATGTACAACTCCTAGATTTACCAATTAGCTTATTAACTGCATCATATTGGTATTTAATGACATATGATCAAAAAAAAATTATAAGAGTAAGTGTACAGTTAGTACATATGTCTTTGCTAAAAAATGCAAACTAAAAATATATTATTAGAAAAAAATTCATTGTGTGTGTGGTTGCTAAGATAAATAAATTATATTTGTAGAATGCTATGACTGCACACAAGTCCCAATATGTCTGGTTTCGAAAGCTGTACATGATATTTTCACGGTACACATTCATCAATACCTTCCAAGAAGTGAGTGCTCTTGATCTGGAGTTGGACCTCCAGTTTGAAGATGAGTAACCCACTTTAATTCATATGATTGTACAAATTGTAATTAATTGTATATATTTACATATATTATTAAATTTGTTTATATTAATATATAATAAACGTACACGTCGAGTAGAAAGTATTTTTTATTCGATCTTACAGAAATATACAAATATTTAGAAATAAAAATGTAGCGCAAGAATAACAATAAACTCATTTTTTGTCATGCGTAATTCGTGCGTTTACTTTCCTTATATAATAGTTTTACTATAAATTTGTGTAAACGAAATGCAATCCCCAATTTGATATGTACTTATTGAATGTGCATAATATACAATTTTTTCCGAAATTTATTGCGCATTCAATAAAATTTCGAATTATTATTAAACAATCTGAGCAAATGTGAAACTATTGCAAGTTAACCTTTTCGTTACTAACGATATTCGAATTATTCTATTGCATTGTCTTAAGAACTGTGAAAATAATGAAAAAGATAATGTTACGCTCTGTCGCGGTAGCGTACGCACGGTCAATACTGTCGTAGCGAAAGGATTACACTTGCCATTTCAAGTATATTCATTTTAAAATCTGTCTCTCAACAATAACATACAATATATGTAATAATTTTTTTATGGTTTAAATTGCATTAGATTTGGCACAGTTTAGTTTTGTGCATAAAGTACATTTTGAACTAACACTTCCTATTGTCTTTTTGACATTTCACAGTACAATTTGATCTTTTCAAGTATTACCCATACTGGAAGAAAACATAATTATTAACTTATATATCTTGTGAGTACTTTTTTTTTAGTACAAATGTGAGTAAAAAATTAAAAAATAATATAACAAAAAATAACAATTATCTTTTTTCCTCCAATAATTAACTAATTAGAGCATTTCAGTAACAATGTACAATGTCAATATTGTCCTTACTTTACTTTAAGAAAAAGAAAAAAAAGCTGCATTTTGTATTCATCATATCAAATAGAACTTAATAATACAATTCGTTTTAAACAGTCTTATACAATATAAAGACAATATTAATTGAAGTTATAATACCAAATAATACATTAGTGCACAGCAGAGAATTGTGTATATTAATAGTAAGTATATATATATATATTTGCTATGTAAAGATATATATATATATCTTTATATAGCAAATAGTTTAGAAAGTATATATGTATACTCTGTGCGCTTATATTCCTTATATCTTGCACATATTCACTATACATTTTCATTGGAAATAAAATCCATATTATCTTCAAACATGTATGAAATATGGAATGTTCTCGTATGACTTACACTACCTATCGAAATACAACAATAATTGAATGATTAACACTACGAAAAATGAAATCTTAACTGCCTCTAATTGTCACCTAACGGTTGAGTAACATTAAAAAAAAATAAATGCTTCCAAGGCAGTCGCAGAAAATGGACGGCATAAAGTGTTCCCGCAAGATCTTCGATCAGTACACTACTGTAACATTAATCAAGTAGTAGAATACTGAATTTAGGTACATAGAGAAGAATAACGTCAATTGGTTATTGATTCATACAGAAAGGAGATCTTCTATGTTTTGTAAAGAAGAATGCTGCAGTTATAAAGGATTCATCGCGAAGATCTCGCGGGCCGTATCCTAGAATCTATCCTTGCCGCGATGATGCGAACCCAAAGTTCCCATACCGGGTTGAGGAGAGTCTAAATCAGCATCTTGCAGGAATTGAAGGTCTTGTAATTCTTGAAATTTTTCTTGGTCCCTAATATGTGCATAGTTGGCAGATAAACACATCAAATAGTGTATAAGACTTAACACAACCAACATTGCAGCTACTGTTGCTAAAATAAACATGACTTCTGCCTTTTCAACAAAATCTTTACAAAACAGTTTCACTTCTTGTGGTCCACATACTTTCATATCTTCTACTCTTGTATTATTTGGAAATATGAAACCTATAAAGAATAAAATATTTATTTGTTGAATAAATAATTGGTTATTTAAATAATGGATACAAAAGATTGGGTGTATAAATTGCTAAACAAACAATAACTTACTGAATTGAGTAAAATCAATGCACTGATCAAGGGACTGGACACGAGGATTGCTGCATAAACCCCAAAATATTGTAAAAATCCAAGTAATTATAACCAAGAAGGCAAATATCAAAAGCCAACCCAATTGTAATATGTAAGTAATTGTCATGAACTAAAAAGTATAAAGCATATTTTTTGGTTCTTCCATATTATGATATAATCAAGTAACAGTAAGATTACATACAACAGCACAGGAAATACGTCCTCCAACTCTAGATCTCCATGCCCTGTATACTTTATGTCGTGTAGCTCCAGTTGCAAGGCAACCAACACATAGTATCATAATTCCCAAAGCTGCCATACTAGCACCAATTGTGGCAAAAGTCAATTGCACAGCTTCTAACCATCCAAGCCGTAAATGAAACACCTTATAATATATAAATGTTAATGAAGATACTAAGTATGTATTACATATAATGAATTACAACAAGATCATAATGTTTTACCTGATCCATCATTAGAGAACCTAATGTAACACCTCTATACATTGTACCACAAAATATGCCTACTCCTAAGCAACACATTATAGTTGCAATAAGAGATGCATACGGCACTCTGGCCATGCAATCATTACACATACTCCCTACAAAGGATAAAAACTTTGTTTATACAAAGTAACATATTGTTTATATTGACTAAAGAAGTTTCCTTAATATTTTGTCATGTATAAATAAAACATATTCTAGTATGTTGCAAGTAGGAATTGCTCCAAATTTGTTTACTTTTGTGTAATAATATTAAGATTAAAGAACTTACTACAAGTTCGATCTTCACAATCAAGTCCATGAAGACTTTTTTCAGAAAATCTATCTATACTAATATTACTTTCAAACCGTCTACGTAACGGTAAACTATCACTTGCGTCTTGCTGATTTCTCATGTTTAATTATAAACAGCTTCAACATCCGTTTAAATAACGTGTGAAGCAATCGATGATTGAAACGATGAATGAGTAATCGTTTCATATATATTACAGATAAGATTACGAAGCGTATCGTACGCTATTTCCCGCGGAATGGAAGAGATACTACGAAAGATTTTTATTTGAAGAAAAACACGCCTCCCTTATAACTATGACACATATAAAAGAATGATTCTTACAAATTTTTTTACTTACCCATGTCTTGATCTTGATATTGTTCAAGGTTAGGTTCGTTTTAGGTGGGCACGGCCCGTTGTTGATCCCGGGCCTACAACGATAGAATTCTCTCAATTATTGCCGTAATTGAACGTCATTCTACTGTATTAGTGAATAACATCCCACACAATTCACGTAATTACAGAGCCACACGAAACACGACTTGTTTATAAGGACCCTACGAGATCTTGTGACAGATTGATTTCATTAATTATCCCCTAAAAATTTTCAACAATATTTTTCTATGCTTTATGCCCGTAATTTATAAGAACACATTAATATTAATGATATCGCACTGCAATGGCTATGCTTTAAGTTGAATATATTTATTTTCGGAATGTCGTTTGTTTTTTGATAACCCTTTAAAACAAATCAATATGGCGACAAAAGGTAAAAGTGAATGGGATCGTTGCCCTCTTAGAAAATTATAGGATATCTAGTAAATTAAACGTAACGTTCTGTTTACTACAATATGCTAATATTTTAGTAAAGAATTTTAATAACTTTAGGTACTCGTATTTTGGATTTGGATAGCTTTATTTTCTCACAATGTAATATTTGTAACACTTGAATTTAAATTTCGTATATGACAATATAAAGATGCTAAATCTTTTATTATAGAATTTGATAAATTAAACTTCAAATATAAATACATACAAAAATATTAAAATGTATCTATCTTATTGTATTTAAAAAATCAGTTACTTCATAATTGAGCTATGTAATATATTCGGAAGGTAAATCTATAAAAATATTTCAGCTCTTATTGT